GTGGGAGCGAGGGCGGCGGAGCCCAGCACGCCGGCAGGGGTGGAGCGAGGCTCCAAGGAAGGGGATGAGCTGGTTCTGGTGGCTGTGCCGGCACAGCCCGTCCCGGTGCCTTTCTGCAGCCTCTGTGGCAGTTCCCCTTGTGGGTTTTGTTATTCCCCGCTTTGCTAACCTGAAGAAAATGCCTTGCTAGTAGAAAACTAAACGCTGTTTCCAGGTTTGCGTTAGCGGATGGTGGCCTGTGGTGGGGGGTCTCTGTGTGGGGAGGGGGGGGAATGTTTCCCTCCTCCCTTAGGAGCTGAAGTTGCCCATCGTCTTCCCACCCTTTTCAGCCAGTTCTGTGCATCCCGGGTTGAATTTGTCTGTCTGTTGCTTCCAGCTCGACTTGGCGGATCTGCAGAAGGAGCTGGATAAAAGCCAGAGCATGTTCCCCGAGAACCCCTCGGTCTGGGTGAAGGACCTGGCCGGGTACCTCAACTACAAGCTGCAGGCGCCCAGGAGCGACCCCCTGCTGAGCCAGCACCCCCACGGTCAGTGCTCCCCAACCTGCCGCGCTCTGCTTGGCCACGGGGCTGGCGGGTGCCCAGCCTCCGGGACGGCTCAGCGTGGTCCTTAAACCCCGTGGGGCCGTGCAGAGGCGTGATGGAGCCTCCGACCGCTCCCCCCCTGCCCTGAGACAATCTCACAGAACCATTTCATTTGGAAAAGGGCCGGGAGATGATCGAGCTGACTGCCTTGGTCCCGGCGGGGAGGCTGGGAGGAGCTCGGGGCTGTTCTCAGCTGGGTTTATCTCACCCGTGTGTCTCAGAGCAGAGGCTGAAGGCCGCTCGCTAAAGAGGCTGTTTGGGAGGTGTTGGAGTGGGCAGGACCAAAACAGCCACAGATGTGAAAGGAAAAAATTTCCTGAGACAAAAGGGGTCGAGCCTGTCCCACAGCCCGGGCTTGTTCCCTGCACGCTGAGACGTTTGGGCTTGGCTTTGATTTCTCTCTCCGCTCCAAACATGGGGTGGTTTGTTTTTTTTTTTTCCTGTGCCAAAACCTTCTTAGGAAACTTGGTAACAGAAAAGGCACAAGTCCGTGTTCTTTGTTCAGCAGATAAAAGGGGGTTATTTGCTTGATTCTGTGATACTGCTGCAACCGACTTCCCTTGACTACAAAGAGGATAAATTGTCTGCACGTTGGCGAATTAGAACCTCCCCTTAGTCACCTGTTTCCGTAAGGGCCCGTGAGCTGCGCCTGCTCCCACGGGATTCTGGAATCTCTCGCGGGTGTCCACGCTCTGCAAGGGCTGTTCTGCCTGGGTTTCCCTTTCACGCACCATCCCTCGGGCTGCCCTGGCCCTGGGCGCTGGCGGCGGGGGGGGAAGGAGCAGAATATCTTCTCCAAACCCGCGTCTGTCCCGTGGCGGCAGCGCTGAGCGAAGCGCAGCCCTTGGAGCCCCAACTGGGCACGTCCGGCACAGGAGAAGGGACCCAGCGCCCAGCTCCGTGGCACTGGAGAGCCGCTGGCTGAGCTCTCCCTCCCCTGCTCTTGGCTCCAGACTACCCGTACTGCCTGGTGAGCAAGGACCTGCGCAGCATCATCCGGTCCCTGCTGGGAAGGTCGTCCGGCGTGCTGGAGCTCTTCTTCGACCACTGCATCTACACCATGCTGCAGGAGCTGGACAAAGCCCCAGGTGAGACACGCCCGGCGGCACCGGGGCTCTTCCCCACGGTGGTTTGGGGCTGGGGGTCTGCAGGGTCGCTGCTGGGGGTGGGAACCTGCTCCCCCTGCCCGGGTGGGTGCCCCAGGCACTGCAGGGTCGGGGCCTCTCGGGCTGGAGGAGCGGAACAGGCATCGGGGGGGTGAGAGATGAGCCCAGCACAGCGCCGGTGTCCCAAACTTCGGAGTCCTGTCCCTTTTCCTTTTCCTCAGTACTCAGCATTAACATATATCCTCCTAATCCACTTTTTTTTTTTGGGTAACGTATTAGGTTCCCTACACATAAAGGCCTCAACATAAGACCCTTCATCCCATTTTCCCAAGCAACAACAGAACAGCATCAGTTGTAACACGGTGTTAAATCACAAAGACCCGTTTTCCGGCCACCGTTCACCATCATTTAGTCATTCAGCCACTGTAGGTTGCAATATTTTTTTTCTTCCATTTTATCCTCGGACATTGGATTTCGCCTGAACTGTTTCCAGTTTTTTCAAAGTACAACCCGAAGGGCTACAGGGAGGACTCGTGGATCGGCTCATTCCCCTTCCACCCAAACAGGCTCTGACCCTGTGGTTGGTGATTCCCTGGCACACGCTCGGCTCTGACCCCCTGATTAATTAAGACCGAGCATCTACATGTCACTTTATCGCCTTCTGCGGAAGCAATTAAACTAGATTTAATACTCACCAATCCAGGAATTTTGCCCCCTGTACAAAAATCTCCATTCAGGCCTCACACCTTTGAGTCACTCGTCATCCCGACCCCAGAAAGCGGCCATCGGAGTCCCCGGGGCTCCGCTGGGGAGGGCAGGATGGAGGGGATGAGGCCTTACACCAAAACCACCATCCCCATAATCCCGGTGCTTTTATCCAACGAGCCCAAAACCACAGCGAGTGGCGGTCGTGGTTCCACCGGAGTCTGCGCCGAGGTGGGTGCTGGGTGGGGTCCCAGAGCCCCGGGTGGCGCCCGCTGGGTGTTTGGACCCCCCAAGCGCCGTTTTCCTTGCTCTTTACCAATCAGTTTGGCCCCTCCTCGTGCTTGTTGCTCCTCGCAGGGTCTCGCCTCCATTTAATGTCACAATATTCTGGTTTTTAACCACGCGTGTTCCACGAGGAAGGGGCCTTTTTCCTGCTCGAGGGTGGGTTTTCCCGGTGTTAATGAGGAAAAGTTCACCCCTAGTCCACTCAATTCTGTCCTTGGGTCAGTTAACAGCTTTTGTTCCACTGTGCTTATCTCCCAGCTCGGTGGTTTCGTGGTGTGTCCCCCCCTGCACTCAGCTGGGGGTTCCCTTGTTTCAGTCACAGCGTTGCTGCTCCGGGGTTGCTCCCTCGGTTTTGCCTTTTCCTTCCCCAGTTCTTGGCAGTTTTTCACGCCAGGTTGTAAAACGGGGCCTTTTGGCCTCCTGAAACTTGGCAAAAGCTGGTTTGGGGCTGCGCTGCGGGGGTGGGGGTGTTCCCCATGGGGCTCGGGGCCCCGGCGCAGCGGCCGCTCCTGCCCTCAGAGCGCGGCAGCCCGCGGCCCCACGTGTGGTTTGTTTCCAAAACCCGCCCAGTGGATCCAAACGCGGGGAATAGCGTGAGATTTTGAACCCTCTTCTGAGCATGAGCGAGAGGGCAAGGAGCCCAGGGAAGCTCCTGGAGTTGGGTCCGTGCCCGTGCCTGGCGCTGTTTCACAGGGCAGAGCTGGCCGGGGGGGTTAGGAAGCTGCTGGTGGGTGTGTGAGGGCCTGTGGGCTCTGTCCTGCTCCTATGGGCTGGAGCCTTGTGGGGGGGTCCTGGGCAGAGAAGGGCCAGGGGGGGTCAGGACCCACACCACTGTGGTGGGGAGCTTGGCGGGCAGGTCTGTGCAGAGGGGGATGTCACCCCCCGATTTCTGGGGGTGCCACAGCGGGGGAGGCGTCGGATCTAAATCCAGAAAAAAAACTTCTGTTTCTTGATTATCATCACTGATTAAAATCCACTACAGTCCCCGGCCTCAGCTGGATTCTCTCCTGGTTCCAATCCTTGCTGCAGCCTCAGGGTCATCCCTGGGGTCATCGTCTCCTTCCTCTTCCTCCTGCCAGTTTTCATCTCGCACAATTCCGAGACAGACTTGGGGATGTTCTGTTCAAAGCTTGGGCAGAGCGAGCGGTTTCTATGTGCTGAATTCTCTTAATCTGGCAAACCCCCGTGTTCAGTCAATGAACCGTCCTTGGTTAAACCGGCTGTGTAGGATTAGCCCGGCTGGGATTTAAACCGGCCTTGGGCTGGGGCTACACAAGCAGCAGGCTGAGGACCCTCTCCAGGCCTGTTGAGCAGCGTTCCGGCCGCCCTGGGAATGTTACAGGGTCGCTCAGTCCTGAGCACGTTTCACTGGGCCTTAAAACCTATTTCAGACTCACCAGAGGTTGTGTTTAACGTTATTCTGTGCCTCCCTGTGCTCCCTTTCAGGGGAGTCGTTGCATGGGTACAGGATCTGCATCCAGGCCGTGCTGCTGGACAGGCCCAGAATCGCCACCATGAACCTGGGCAAGGTGAGCTGGGGTTGGGGGGGCCCCCAACGCAGCCACGCTGCTCCCCCCGCCCCGAGGCTGCCCCCCAGAAATGAGGGAACTTTGGGGCAGAAAAGGGGATTTGGGGGTTGCGCTTCTCCACAGCAAGCGGGTGATGGTGGTGGCTCAGCAGCGCCACGCGGGGCCGGTGCCTCCGCTCCCCCAGGTTTTGGGGGTGCACTCGCCCGGCACAGGGTCCCTCAGGGTGGGAGGGGGGGCCGGGGGCTGCTCCCAGGCCCGGCAGAGCCGTGGCGTTGGCCTGGACGGGCGGAGGGTTTTCTCAACGCCTCTCCTCTTGGCCGCAGTACCTGGAGGTGTTGCGGTCCCACCAGAACAGGCCGGCGAAGTGTCTTACCGTCCTCTGGGCGCTGGGACAGGCCGGATTCACCGACCTCCACGAGGGCCTGAAAGGTGAGAGCATCCCCGGCGGGGAGGGGGGCGGAAAGCTGGGGCGGCCCCTGGTACTGCTGGTGCCTCTCTGCTCCCCCCAGTGACACCGCCCGGGCGTGGGGGCTGCTTCAAAACACACCATCCCGCTGCCGGAACACCGGAGAGGGCACCCCGGGGCCGTGAGGCACTCATCTGGGAATGAAATCTTTCCATTTCGGTTGGAAAAAACTCAGGATTGTTGGGTTCAACCCAGCTGGGGTGTCCCCAGCACCATGTCGGGGTTTGCTGCCCGGTGTGACGCTGCTCACCATTCCCTGTGGCTTCGATTCCGTCTGTGGTCCCGGCACCTACACGGTGCCCTGCGGCCCCGGGAAGCTCGTGCCCGGGGCAGGGGCCAGCGGGAGCCCTCCCGCCCCCCGGTCTCACCACCGCCTCTCTCCCGCAGTCTGGCTTGGCGTCATGCTCCCGGTGCTCGGCATCAAGTCTCTCTCCCCGTACGCTGTTGCCTACCTGGACCGTCTGCTGACGTGAGTGACGCCTCCTCGCCTGACTTTTGTTCACAGAAATCGGCGCCCCGGGCGGGTCCGCGCTGTGCTGGGGGGGGGGCGGAAATTATCTCTGATCTGTGGGTGCTGCTGGCGGGGTGGGGCGTCTGCGCTGCCCTCATGATGCCTCTGTGGCTGCCGGTTGTGCTGCAGAAATGCCGGGTTTCTGCATGGGTTCCCTCGCCGCGGTGCGGAGCTCTTCCCCGCGAGGAGGAGGAGGAGGAGGGTGGCGTTTGCCTGGGGGTCGGGACGGGTGGCTCTGGTGGCCTTCATGTGGGGGGGGGCAGCCGCTGTCCCCCAACAGCAGCTTTGTGCCCGGGCTGTGATCCGAGCGCTCTGGGCAGGGTGGTTGTGTCTGTCCAGGCCTGGGGGGAATTTCCCACAAACCAAGTGCCCCCCCAGCAGGGTTTTGTGCTCATTTTAGACACAAAACTCAGAGGTTGGGACTTTTCCAAATGCACCTGTTAGATCCAGATCGCTTCCTGATTAACATACAATTAGCATGGCTTAAATAACGCTTCTGCTGCTCCCCATGCCCAGGGGAAGGGTCTTAACCCCGGGCAGGGGCCTTTTTGCCCCCCGGGGGGGTGGTTTTAAGTATTAAGGAATCCCAGACGTTCTCTTTCATGGTCCAGGATGTTTGTCCAAGGTTTGGAGATCAAAGCTTGTTCTTAATAGACTTCTTATCAGTAATCAGGGTTACCTGGGCCACTATTCAAAATCTTGTCCGACCGGGTTTCAGAAACCTGAGAATTGTCCCTGCGCGTGCCGTAGCTGCAGCTGCGGGTGCAACCACGACCCGCGGCCTCTGGCAGCCCACGGGGAGATGGGGAATCTGGGGGGCAGCTCTGTGGCAGCTCCCAGAGCTTTTATTTAAGCGTTTTGGTGTTTTTTTTCCCTGCTTTACCTTAACAAGAGCGCTGCACTTGATTTTGCCGCAGGGCAGATAGAGCCAAATGTCACAGTTCACCCTCATCTCTCCGACCCTTGATTGAATTGGTTTTCTGTAGATTCTCTCCTCTGACCACGTTTCATTTCCCACCGGCCTGGCCCCGCACTGGGCTCAGTGGCCTCTGCGGCTCACGGCCTCTGTCTCTCTGCGCAGGATGCACCCAAACCTGACCAAAGGCTTCGGCATGATCGGACCCAAGGATTTCTTTCCCCTCCTGGACTTTGCCTTCATGCCCAACAACTCGCTGCCGCCCAGGTACGCCGACAGCCCCCCGGCACCCCCCTGCCCGCGCCAGCTGCGCCATGGGGCCAACACCCCACTGGCCTGGCTG